TATTGTTTCCATTGTTGTGTTACTTTTATCGTATCTTAACAGTACCATACTTATATTTCATACATTATACTTCAGAATGACCGGCATTTCAATGATATACGTTATTAATTATTGGCTTCGTTCAAGCTTTTGAAAAACTTTTAAGCACTTCAAATAGCCTGCAATTTATTATTTTAATCAGTCGATTTATTTAACAACACTCCGCTTAATTCTTTGAGGCAACATAGAAACAATTAAGTACTTATAAGATTATACTACAAAATTGTCTGTAATCTTTATTGATCACTGGGTCTGGTAATTAAAGCTTTGTTTGATCATCCAACAAAATGCAAGATATATCCTGACCATTCCTTCGGAATCTTTCCTAGACTTTCCTATTTTATTTCCAGATTAATGATATATCTCGGAGCAATTTAATACTGCTGAATGTTTACAGCGCAAAAAGTAACATATCAATTATTTACAGGCTACAGTCGCTGAATAGTTCAAAGGAACATTTTTGATAAGACGACAATTGTTTTGTTTTGATGTATGACATAAAAATCAGATCGCTAAAGACTTAATGCCTAGAAAATAATAAATATTTCTTTCAGCGTTAAATGTGAAATTATTTATGATACAAGTGGAGCAAATGTGTAGTTCTAAGTTACAAACGTCTTTAGAAGTTCTTCTAACAAACATTTTTGTAAGTAAAAAATCGGCCAATTGCTTCTTTTTTAAAATCATTGCAATTACGTTGAAATATGCATTTACTCGTAGATGATAGCGTTTTGTCCATATTCACTCAATAGATGTATACTATATTTAGAACAAGTGATTGTGGTTATTTGATATCAATAATTCAATATTATATCATACATTATCACGTACCGATCTGTCACTCTGATATATATAGACACTAACTAATTGATTGATAAAGTAGTCTTGATAGAACAGACATAATTTAATCAAAAAGTTGTTGTTTCGGCATTAAGAAAAACTGTTTGATGCACACATAAACAAATACCACTATTTATTTTGATGAAAATGATTACAGATATTAAACTTCTTCAAAACTGAATGATCATTACGCCAATGTATGTCACATTCACTATGTATATACTTTGTTTCGGTGTTCTAAATGAGACCAGAGATCAATACCAGTTTTTGGAAATTAATTATTAATGTGCAAGAACAAAATAGTTAAGAGGAGTAGTTGTTACAGACAATGGACCTTTCCGGTGTTTACAGTTTTATGTAAATTGGTTAACTTGTTATCCAATTGCTACACTGAGATAATACATAGTCGCTGGTTGACCTAGTTTGCACAAAAGCACATATGGTTATGTTTGTGATACTGTTTGTGAGCAGTTGACCTAGCAATGAATGGAAAAGATGTGGCTAAATGTTCCGCTACGACAAACCGGAAAGGTCCATATTAAAAAACGTATACAAGAAGATAATCCGATAGAAAACATTCTGGACAGCTTATTGGTTTGTTCATAATAATTGTTGAAAATTGTGGAAAGAAAAGTTATCGATTTGTCATACCTTTTGATATAGTACTAAACTCGACACATTATTGAAATACACTAAAAAGGAGACTATTTTTACGAGACTTGGTCTTCCGTTCTTATCATTTCCTTGAATATAAAACTGTATGATTTGTATTGTTTTTGTATATATGTAAATGTATGTATTCGGGTAAAAAATGTTTTTAAAAACTTAAAGTCGAGGAAACGACTTTTGACTGTAAATTATTACACGTATATTCCTTGAAGTGTATTTTGGGCACTAAACTACAAGAATCAAGAGAAACATTACAGCGACCTTATAATTAGTTAAATGTAAACTAGCATTCATTTTAGTCAGTCATAATTGCCCTTATATACTGCAAGCGATTTGTAAAAGAAATGTGTTTATACCCTCTATTTGAATCAGTAAAGGTCTGACGGTTTTAACCTTTGTAAATATAATGTAGAAATACTTGTTCTTAACTATTTCAGGTCCATAGGTTAAATAAATCATGTCATTGTGACAAACGTTCACGGTAAATAGTATTTTAAAACTAAAAGCAATATTATTTCTATCATCAGAGGAACAATTAAGCAATGAAAGTACTGAATTCTAGTTTCAGCAATTCATTTGCAAACATTGGCATCTTAACAGGTTACCTAATATCGGTTTCATTTTTGTTTTGTCTTTTAACTTAATCTAATGGAAGGTGTTATTCTTGGAATACACGGGAGAACAACCATTAAAGTTAAAATGTTCATCAGTTCTCCACGATAGTTTTTTTTTATACCAGAGCAGCTTTGTTTAATTGTTTCTGGGTCAGTGTCATTCTCAAACAATTTGTCTAACATAAAAAAAATGTATGCACCTAATATTATATTCGTATAAAATTGTTTCCGCTTGGAATGAATGACAATGAAATAATTAAAAACAAAATGAAGAAACCCGGAGATGAAATGGTTTAATTATAATAGTTTTCTATACAAAGTTTTAGATTAATCTTGATTTCAGCTATAAAGCATGGTAACTTTGGAAAATATTTAACATATACATTTATTTTCTTCTGCGCGTTTATTTTCTAGCATGCCTTGCTGTTATAAACATTAATGTTACAAATGAATTTAATAGTTAAAAAAAGTAATATACTGTCATTATAACTTGTCCAACAGAGCAAAATGGGCAAAAGATAGTATTATATGTGCTAAATACGAGTAAGTATTTTATTGGAAGCTGTAACACGATACCAAAAATAAAGAAAATTTGAATAATACAAACGACTGTATTTGCAGACATAATGGGTGTTTAAACAATTTCACTGATCTGTAAAATCAATGAATTAGTAGATCATTTACCCTGACCTGACAACAATGATTATAGTTTCATTTTAGTTCAAAATAAATAACAGGCTATCAGCTACCATTTGGACAGTTCGCATATTTTATGTCATATATGTCTCTTTAATAGTACCTTTTAAAGACAATGTATATCATGAACTTACTGAGATAAAAACGTGCTTAACATGAAATGAAGATTTGACAAGTATTAATGATACAATTAATTATATATGTCTTCAATATAATTCGTTACCAGACGATTCCAAAATTTGGTATATTTAGGATTTCTGAAGGAGATTAACTTAATAACCCTCACGTCTTGATAGAGTACTAATAGTTCTACATAATAGGAACGAAAGTTGATTATGCTAGAATTTGTTATGAAAGTGAAAATTTAGAATAGGATATTAAGAGAAATGAAAGAAATGTTTTACCCTTAAATCACATATCAAATTTATTCTGATTGAATTTTGCACTCAACTATTTATCGATTTAGGAAAACAGATCGTCATCAGTTTCCAATGAATACTTTGAACTGTTTTGTCATGACTATTTCCTGTAAACAAAACGTGTTTAGAACACTAGACGATGAAATGTGTTCTTTTTATTTATTTCACGAAACCATGCTAATTACAATTCGTAATGGATTGAACATCCTTGAGAATAATTGCTTTCTTTGGTCTTAATTTATGGAAACAAGTGGAAATATTTCACAAACATATGTATTTTAAAACTATCATGAATCATTCTTTCCTTATACAAAGTGCATGTTAAAGCACATTTCTTATTTTAATATATCTGTCATAACTACATCTTTTCAAAGATGAAAGAACTAAAACACTCAGAAGAAGGAGGTCTGCCTAAAATTGATATAAACACTCGTATTTTTACTCGTATATATCGACTATTTCGTTCTCTTTTATTGTACAAGTTAAATAAGATAGAAAAATATTCATCAAAAAAATCATTAGAACGCATAACACTCTTGCCGGGATGGATTTTATCCTTACCAATACCTGTAGAGTGTGCTTTGGTTATAGTTAGTCATTATAAAAAAAACACTAGCAATCACCAGAAACATTATTCAACGATAAAAAAGGGTTTTAAAATAAACATTTCAAATAAAATATCTCTTTTAAAATGTTATTCACATACTCGCTATTCTGGAAATGTTAAGAGTGCGATAAGTAATAGAAAGAGCATCGAAACACGAGGATATCTTATTTGTATGAGGGGGCGAACCCCCCGAGTATAAATCAGATTGCCGAGTGTTTTGATGTTCTTTCTATTACTTATCGCACTCTTAACATTTCCAGAATAGCGAATGAAATGAACCAATCAATGGGCATGCTCTGGAGTGCGGGTAACTAATACCTGCACTCCAGTTAACATGCTGTGCATGTATATGTATACGATTTAACTCTGTCACATTTTCAACAGAAATGTCCCCAAACTATGATACAAGCAAGTATATGTGCAGTGACAAGTAAACGTAAAAAATGTTGTAAAATGTTTTTTTAATCTTTTAAATGGAATTCTTCAGACAGTTTGCATATTTAGCGTTAAGCCATCGACACGTGTCACGTTTTTGTAAATATTTTTATCATTGTGTAATATGCCATGGACAATATAATAATATCTATTTAAATATATTTTGCTGCTTCTAGAAGACCAATAGTTAAGAGAGAGCGTTCGTGTTATTATTGGATGTTTACCAATTCAACAGATTGTCTGTGTGCGATAACGTTTCGTGGATAAATATTGCAGCATAAATAGCAGACTGCAGTATTACTTAAAGCATCAGAACAGTAACAGCGACTCTTAAAATTTAAAAGTAAAAGACTCCAATCTTTGTTCTCGGATGATTATTTAATTCGGATTATTGATTGTTAACTTGTGTTGAATCATAGCAAGTGGAATGTTATAACCAATGATGCATTCATGGTGAATTTCTGGTAAATTATTTGTAAACAGTTTATGTTACAGTAAAAGTCTTAGAATACAAATGTTTAGCAGAGTTCATGAAACGGAATATAAGCATGCAATATATGAAAGGAAACGGTGTGATTTCGGGAATATCTAAATGAAATAAAACGGTTGTCCCCAGTCCGTGTCCTTATTTCTTCAACGTTATGAAAGCTGTGGATTAAAATCTGGCGATGGTTTTTTCGTCATTAGTCGTTTTTTCTTCGAGCAAATGTGTTACTTTCATATTTCTTATATACGCAAACGCGTGTAAGTTATACGTTTTGTCTTTGTGTATTTAACGTGTCACCTAAACTGTAAAATTATTGTGTTCCGAAGAGTGTAAACACAGCTTTGGGAGAAACAGAAATGGTGATGCAAGTGAAAATGTGTATGTTAACATATAAAGTCATGGGAAGATTAACGATATATTTATCTGAGCGTGTGTACGTCCGTGATTATTGATATCATTTAGAGTAATATGTTATACCATTCAAAGTTAAATATGATATGTAATTATATCAAACAAAGTAGTAAAACAGAATAATGCATGTGAAAGATTAATGCAAAATAAATTTCTGTAAAATATATATATAAAGTAAGGAGGAAAGGAAAATTGGGTTTAATTTCAAACAGCAAGGCTTAAAATGCATCAATTTCATAATACAAACAATTATAAAGGTGTGGATACTGCAGCTTTGAAGAAGTTTGGTCAAACTTGTGCAAAAACTCCCACAGTTGTCGGTCTTCAGCTCAGGAAAATTCGAGACCCACAGATTATAATAATTCGGAATAAATATACAAAAGAAATCGTGGATTTGGAGGTATGTTAAACTTGTTATTTCTAACCATTGATGTTTTTATTTTGTTATCTTAATTTCAGGCTAATCAGTCATTAAAACTATTATATCATTATTTTTTACTCGACTGTCTCCTTTGAATTTCATTTGATTTTAATTAAATTTGGATATTAAGATAAAAGAAAGATTATGCTGATTTGCAGAAAGGATATTATATGCATATATCTTTCAATGTAATATATCAGGTTTCTCTTGATCGAATAATGTATTCATACAATCATTTTGTTGATGGGTTTTTGGTTTAAAATCAAGTAAACGGGCATTGTTTGTGCTATTATGCCAGACGACTACTAGTAGAATTAGTTCAATCCGACATCATAATGATAATGTCGACAAGAAAAATTGAACTGTAATGTTGATCCCGATGTTAAACAATTAAATTATTAATTTCATACCACTTTTTTCAGTTTAAAAATGATTTAATAAATTACATTTTAGAAAAATAATCAATTTTAATATTTGATTCAAATTACTAGACGGAAGCATGTTATTTTTTCTAAATCAACGTTGACTTTCCTTTAGTGTCTAATAGACACGCACAAAGTCTACATTAACAAGTAAGTAATGAATGGTATTCGTCATTAAATGTGCATTACAGTATCTTAGAAAATAATTATAAAATCGATGCCGTTTCACAGATTCTAGATAAATACAGGGACTTATCACTAAAATTGTCTTTGTATCACTTCCACAATAGAGTTTTTTTTAAATTACAGCTTCGGTACCTCATTTTAGTATTTAAAATCGCAGTGTTTGCTTGTAAATGTTTCTTATCTAAATACTTAGTATTATTTTGCATTTGCGTGAACATTTGTACCTTTAAAGCTTTATTAATATTGAACATAATTATTTTGTATATGTAAAAAATATGCACCGAATAGTAAATATCAATGTGTTGGTAACATTTTAGGAATAAGTAATAATTACTTTGAATTTATATTCCGTATGTCATTGTACTCCAGATTCATCTTCAGTAATTATAATTGTAATATATAAAACATGTAAACATATTGAAGGTCCATTAAACTTCGAAAATGCTTTCATTTGTCTTAAAACAAACATTTTACTTTTATTTTTAGTGTAAACAATCATTTTGTTTTTATTTTCGGTGTCCTGATATAGTTTTTCTAAAAGTTACTCATTGGCCAAAGACCTGAACCGTTTTTGTTTTTTTTTTTGCATTTTAGCAGTTGGTAATATATGGTGATAACTTATTTTGTAAGAAAGTCAAAGTACCAGTTTTACTTTTATCACAACTAATTTAACATTAAATGCTATTTTTCCAGGTGATCTAAGTACATGATGGCAGTATTATAGAAACATAATTATTTGAACTTTCAACAAAAGGAAACAAATGTTCTTTTCTAATGCTTGATATGCCTTTAACAATACCTTACCAATAGATTCCCTCATTAGAGGAAACGTATCATAACACGATCTTCCATATTTAATTTAATTCTTGTATATTTTAAGAAATGTATCATATAATACATTATGTGTTGTCTTTTACTTTATTTGTTCAAATCTTAGAGGATAAGGAATAAATCAAGCCGTTGAGACAAAACACACAATTAAATGTCTTGTGAAGGATGAGACATCTTTCTTGAGGACGTTTTAATAGATAAAACTGGTCTCAAATGTATATTTCTTAGTTCTTAGCGAGGGAAAATCAAATACAACATATCCTTATTTAGATGACTAATTACATTCTTTTTATAAGTCATTCGTAGTATTTTAAAGAAATCGGTTAAAAACAGCATTATATTATCGGTACAATATTAAAGAGAGCGAAGTATACTTAGAAGAAAAATGTAACGCTTAGTGACATAATTAACCATCATGGAATAAATATACGTACATACATCTACAATAATTGTAAACACTAGGAAGTTTATAAGAACTGAAAAACTTTTCATGAAATAAATTGAATGTTAAAAATTCCATGATGTAATACCTGTTAACTGTACAAACTTCTTGTGTCAATAAAAAAATATTTGTGTTAAATTTTTTATTATTTTTTTATTGTACGGATACAAATACACACAATATTTTTCCATCTATCCACCTCCTGGTGATTTCATGTTTATATATATCATAGGATATAAACAGCTAATTTTGTGTCATTTTTAGTTTTGCTGAACACTTCAAAACTTTTGTTACAACGAGTCCAATAATTTATCTCTAATTACTAAAGAAAATGGTTGCAGAAGATGTTATGACTGGTTAAGGCACGGAATAATGTCTGTCATTTCACAAAGGCAACTATAATAAATTAATGTTGAACCGTACAAAATCTATTTGAAGGCTTCATTACTTCAATAACAAGCCTTAAAATGTTCACTGACTTTGTAAAACATTTTTACATACGAAAGCGTATTTCTATAAAGTATCGTTTGATGCCATTTGTCATGAGATGCTAATTTACCTAAAACGAGAGTGTTTGGTTAATTTACTCCTTCGCATACAAAGCAAATTTCGATATTAAACCTTAGAAACACGCTAACAATGTTCCTTAATTTGTTTCTAATTAGATTCTTCATTTATTTAACTGCAGTTAAGACGATTCGTGACATTACAATTTCGTTTCATCTAAACAAATTTTATAACTCTCTTTAAAATTGTTTTACTACTTAATAGGAGTGAGATTATAATATAGATCTTCAGACTTCTTTCTGGATTTACAACCGCAATTCGCAAACGAAAGTCAGAACCAATAAATGTTTATTGGTAAAAGAAACGAACGAAATACGTATTTGAACGCTGCATTTTGTGTTTTACGTTAACATTTCTTTAGATGAAGTTGTAAGAAACATACTAATAAGTAAGATGTATCAAGTCCCTGACATGTTTTCCTATCTTTTGACGTGAAAGTGTTTCTAATATATTACAATATAAAAATAATCTAGTTATCAATTAAAAAATCATTTGACGTTTTTTGTTTGTTTGTTTGCTTGTTGTTTTTTAAGTTGGATTTTTTAACTTCGACGTTTATTACGATAAAATACATGTATCAGCTGATTAAACATTATGAATTATGATTGTGATGCACCTGCAAATCTAGATAAATTATGATTTAAAGGTTGATTTCAAACTTTCATTATATTTTATGTTTAAGACATTTGTCTCCTTAAAAATGTACTACTTTAAAGCTAGTCAACTTTTAAGAATCGATATTCTGTTACTGCTGAAATATCTTTTACTTTTAAAATAACGATTTCGTGATCATATTTTGTTTAACAGAATGTTAGTGTAAACCGTTTTAAAAAAACAATTTACATCGATAGATAGCAGACTACAGTATATCTCATTGTAAAGAGTTTGTTTTTCTTGCTTTCTGGTAAACATAAAGTTGACGGAAATAGTGAAAAAATAGAGAATTTTACTGTTGCTTAGCGAATACTTATGCAATTTAATGATGTAATATAAAACTTTACCCGCAACGTTTAAAACGTTTGGTTATTGACGAACAGTGTTGTTCTGGCATTTTTTGACGGCAAATTTTGCTTCAGAAACGAATGAATTTGTACATTTTAGAAAGAAAAACATTAATGGTATAATGTTTAAATAATGGTTTAAGGGCTTGTTAGATGAGAAAAAGTGCTTAATGTTATGTTTTATTTCTATAAAAATGGGATCTTCTTTATGATAATTCTTGTTATGATAATTATCATACCGCAACTAGTGAAATATTTATTTTCATACCACTTAATGAAAATAAATCCCATGTTTTTAGCAAACATTTGAATATCCCCTATAAAATACTTTCTTTTAATATGTCCGTCCTGAAATACAGACGGTCTAATTATTTGTTCATAATTCTGATGATTCATGATTCAGTTGCTAGGTTTCTTTTAGATTTTATAATGAGATATCATCTTAAAATGTATAACCTCGCCCCATTATGTCATCTTAACCTCTCATATTCTGTTTTTTTTTAATAGCTCTTACAGTTCTTTCGCTTGTATCAAGTATTTTGATGTCATGATTACATGAATAGCCGATGCCTTTAAAGTGTTTTTTCTTGTTTTCTATATGAACTTGTGGTCTGAGCAATATAAATGTTTTGATCGATAGAACAGTAATAGTTAAAAACACTATTTATAAGAGCCCATGTCGAGATAAGACATCGTTTGTTTATTCAGGTCTGTTGCCCTATATGAGCGTATGTTTAAAACGTAGCCACTGCTGTTTGATACAGATAAAAATGTATTGATAGCTTTAGCTTAAGCCCGTCATCTTTTTCCGATTGTCAAGCGCAATCTAGTAGAGCAATTTATTGTATTACTGTTTCGAGTACCAAAGACAATAACGTAAGTCTTTGTAATATTGATATTGAACTGCAATTGATTAATAAACACTATTATCATACACGATGTATGAAAATATATGTTTAAATAATGGACTGATAATTGTTTTCATGCAGAATGTTATAGTTTCGTCATAGATACCTTGGGGTGTTTTTTTTAAAGAACGTATCAGTTATATATTGCATACGTTATAAGTTTACATTATGTTAAAAAAATACTCACTTTTTAACTGTTCCTTAAGGACTAAGGAATTAATAATCCCGATAGACAAGAAAAGTTATAACAACAATTACGAAACATTTTTACAACTGTCTCACATCTTGTGACATTTTCTTACGAGAATACAACAAAACTAAACATCTTGTGACATTTTTTGACGAGAATACAACAAAACTTTGGTAAGGGAAAGGTTTCATAAAAGTCACAATACTAAACACTCGTTTTGATACAATTTAAGTGTCTTAATATCCCCTGGATCAAATATTGTGTTCTTTAAATTTGTCTACAAGCCATATTACAGTTCATCAACAGTTTGTTTACATTGTTAAATTTACATGAACTTCAATATTATCACTCCATTTAGTTAAAAAGAAATAGAAATATATATATTCTTCCTTAAAATCTATACTTTAGAATTATATAAATATAAAATCCAAT